TCTCTCTCTCTCTCTCCCCCTCTCTTTCTCTATTCTATGTGCATTGAGGATATTTCAATCAAAGCAATGGTATCAAATACATGTTGTGGATCTGGTTATGTATATATATATATACCTGGGTATCCAAAACTTATGTATAGGTTTCCCGTACCCCAAACCCTAGCCGACCTGTACAAAGAAAGCCTAGACCACTATTCGATGTCCAATACCAACCGAGGAGAAGTTCATCACTATTCTGGAAGTACAAATCACCAAAAAGAACGAAGTCGAGTTGCTCGCCGACGAGGGATGGTACTCCCGGACCGAAATGATCAGCGAACTCGGCTGGTCAGTGATTCTTATATTTGATTATGGCTTGCTGCAACAGATCCCAGAGAGTGCACTTCTTCATGCGTCTACTAGCTGCATGAACCCTGTGCTAATCCTCTTTAAGGAAGAAGACCGACGGTGCTATGGCAAAGTGCAGGTCCCGGGGTGACACGCATGTGAGGCTCGGGCTTTCAATGCAATACGGGATGAACTTATAATAGCTTTTATGGCTGTATATAAACCGTGGCCGCAGGAAGAATGCCTACGACAACGAGGAAGAATTTTGGGTTACGGTGCGCGAGTCGGGGAAGCGCAAGCACACCGAGAGCTACGAGGAGAAAAGCAAGAAGATCAAAGAAGCCCCTCAACAGCACCCACGAATCCACCCCACGTATTTGCACACAATGTGAATTCATTCGCACTTGTCACACATATCTACGCAAGCAGATGCACATACCCACACGAGAACCCCTACTATTAATTGGTATTCCCTGCAGCCAGCGAACAAATTAATCAGGTGGATGACTTGCCAGAGATCAGCAACGGCCTCGCCGGCTTCCAGAGGATCGATGCTTATGCTAAGGAGCACCCTGCCGACCCTGCCAAGCCCAGCCAAGAGGACCCCAACATGCACAAGTGGAACCAGGCTTGCCTACATATGCTTGGTTTTACATAAATCCTATAAATCCTATATAAACCCTCTAAACCCTATAAACCCTAAACCCCTAAAGTTCCCTTTAGCTTATGTGGTTTGTCAGACGATATCCGCCATGACCAAGCTGATGGATTCTACGGTGGCGAAAATCAGTAAGCTTCGCTCGCTAGCCAAAGAGTTGCGCAAGAAGTACAAGGCGGATGATGAGACCAAGAAGTCGCTAGCCTGGAATATATGTCCCGATGAATCCGTATAAACCCGAAAGCCCCTGAAATCCTAGAACCCAAACTATAGTCCTTAGCAAAAACCCAATCCGAAATCAACCCCACTGCTCAGGCACACTTCTGGCTTGGAAGTGGAGATCAAGAGCATGGAGCAGCAGTACGACAAGTGCTGTGAGTTGAAGGCAAAGGCCGAAAACCAAATGGACGAAGAGTTTCTTGTCTTAAGTTGAGCACAACAACAAAAGTTGAGAGTGCACTAAACACGAAGCACAGCCCGCTTCCCACCCCCCGAATCAAGGCTCTACAAGCAGATGGAGATCTGCATCAAGGAGGTGACCATTGTGCCTACGACTCAGGTCGACTATAGCCCTAGCAACCCCAAAAGCCTAAAGCTCTATATAAACTCGATGAAACCATTCCCGCTGCGAGTGCGAGAACCGCTTACTGTCGTGATGCTGCGATTCAGATGAACCCCACCCGAATGCCTATATCTAGCCTAAGCCCTTCAAAGACTTGCTCCCAGGTGCTCGCGATCCTCAGCCACGGAGATGAAAATCAGGAGCAGCCGCAGCGCAGTAGGGCAGCAGTATGGCAGCAGTGGCAGCAGCATCCTGAAGCGAGTTCTCGTTCGATGTTCTTTGGATAGCACCGATCGGTGAGGGATTAGGTGGTTGGCCGGGGTTCGGGTTCCTACTGGGCCTTTAAACTTTCTTTGCAGGGCAGCGAAGAAGTACTACGACAGAAACGACAAGGACGACAAGCCCGTCAAGGATTCCAAGAACCCCAAGCCGAAAAGCTCGGCAAAGCCGGCAGCGGAGAGTGGGAAGCCTAAGAAAGTGCCGAAGAAGCCAAAGGCAAAGGGCAGCTAGAGTTCATTTTGAACACCGAAGATTCTTCTTAGAGGGTGTGGGCAGAACCTGCACCTTTGGAGCATCTTTTGGGCTCGTTTCAAGCCCACTGTAGACTGGTGGTAAGCCACAAGTCTCAAGTCCTAGTGTGCACTCCTAATTCTTGGGGTATCCTACCGTGTTCGTCGTCTGATTGGGGCCTGCTGTCAAAAGATATTCCAGCTGCTGCAGCTTGATCGGGATTCGCATTGTAGTCTTGGCTGTGCATATCCAATCTGTCACTCGAGAAATCCCGGAAGCACCGCCAAACACACTGGGAAGCAGCCGAAACTATTTGCAACGCCAGGTTCGGCCCCAAGCCGTCTGGTTCGTGGGCTCAGCCAGGACATTGGCGAGGGCGCCGGAAGCTTAAAGCTGCACGTGCGGAGCTGCTTGAATCATTCACTTCCGAGCCTGTTTCCTCAGTTTTGTTTGGGCTGCATCCTGTTTCGTCCGATGCGGTTTGCTGAGCCATGGTCGATACCCCAGTGTCATCTCCTAGCTGCGAAACTCCTGAAGAAGAACTCTACGAGCTTTTGACATGTCATCGCAGTGATGCTCGTTATTGTTTGCAAGGCTTTTGTATTTAGATTTTGGTGGAAACAATATACTAATATACTATCTGCTCTTGTAGTTACATATTATTAGTTTCATCGAGTTAGTCGACAAGGACTCTCTGGCTCCTTACCCTTGGCCCAAAGTATCGGACGAGAAGCTGGTTGGGGAGGCCGAAAGCGCTTTCAAACAAACAGAAATCTCCGAATCTGAAAAGGTTCCCAAGTGCCCCGAGCTGGTCACGAACAAGGAAGCTGCGAGCATCAAGAGCACCTGTATGCCCATTTTGAGGTCAAAGGCTTTACTTGGTCATTTGCAGGAGTCGCCTGGGCTTTGTGAAATGTACAATCAATGCACTGCCCTGGGGTGCATTTCTTTTAATGTTCCTTCTCCGAATGCTATCGCCGGGAAAGTACTGCAGCACTGTGTGAAAGAGATTGACATCACCATTGCTACAAAGAAACCTTTGATTTTCAAGGTGGGTTTTACCCACAACCCCGTCTGGCGATGGTCGAACGACTTGTATGGATACAACCGTGCGCGAGACGGATGGACTGACATGACCGTGATGTACATATCGGATGAACATTTCGGCCCGGCTATGCTAGAAGCTGCTCTTATTGACAAGTACAATGGTTACTTGGAATGCAACATGTATATATGTAAAGTAAGTTCGGAAATCCAAACAATGATGGGTTCTTTTCCTGCCAACAAAGGTACGACCGGATTCCGAAATATCAGGTTTGGAGGAGACAATGTGCAGCACAAAGACATTCCTGACAGCCATTATATGGTATACCTCGTGTACAGATCCTTCAAATTTCCACCGCCGGTGAAGAAACCATAGTTTTCTTCTTCGATAAAAGTTTCACTTCAAAGGCTCTGGGGATCGAGCTAAAAGGGTTGCTGCCTGGCTGCTTGCATGCATCCTCCTGTCTCAGCAGAGCAAGTGAAAGTTTTTGTCGTCTTGAATTTTGATGAAGTTTGGGGTGGGACAGATTTGTGTTTGCCGAGGCCACTTGCAGATCGGCGATCCGTACGGCCCGCAACCTGGTTTCTGACCTGGGAGAGAAGGCGGGCTCCGTCAGAGGCCTGGTGGACTTAGCAAAGTGCTCTGAGACACATTCGGAAAGAGACACACGCCAGCTCATGGTTGGAAAGATGAAGTAACCGAAAACGGTGAACAACTTCCGACGCTTCGATTGCGAGATTGGTGTAAATTTATTTTGGATACGAATTCTTGGCACCATTTGTGCGGGCTGAAAGCGCCCGACTCCGCCAGAGAGCAGGCGATTTGGTCTGCTTTTTGGGAGAAATACCGTGCTCTGGATCCAGAGCACGAGATATTCAAGAAAGCCGCTTCAGGCACTCTAGAGCTGAGTCGTTGTGCTGCTATGTTGCTTCGTGGGGATGAAGGGCGTGGCCGAAGACGCCAGGCTTTTATGGTTGTATCATACCACTCTTGTTTGGGTAGAGGTGCCGCACCAGAAAAACGTGCAAGGAAAGGCAAAACTGTTGCCAAGCCGTATCTGAAGATGAAGACAAATTTTCGAGGACACACATATACAACACGTTTTTTAGCTGGAACCATGACAAAGCAAATGTACAACGACAACGATGATTTCTTTGAGGCCCTCATGGGATCAGTTGCGAATGAAGCTTTACACCTTGCCACATCTGGGGTTGAGGACCGCTACGGCCAAAAGCATTGGATGATGGTTTTGAGAACTGTAGGAGACTGGCCGTGGCTCCATCGTGTCGGTCATTTGAACCGTACATATGCAAACGTGGCCAAACGATTGGATCAAAGGCCAGGTGGCATTTGCCACCTTTGTGATGCTGGCTTCGAACATGCGCCGTTCGAAGAACTCGCAACCCGGACACCGCGGTGGTCTAAGACCATGTACATGAGGAGCCCTTTCGAAGCTACTCCTGCCATGGCTCGGGTTCCCCACAGCCCTGGACGACTTGCAGAACATTTTGCTTTCGATGTATTCCATACAATTCAATTGGGCCATCGGACTTGCACGGAGAGACTTGGGGATGCTTCCCAGGGCTACTCTTCTCGGGGACACTCTTCTCGGGGACACTCTTCTCGGGGACACTCTTCTCGGGGACACTCTCCTCGGGGCCATTCTTCTCGGAGACACTCTCCTTGGGGACAGCCGCGTCATTCGGAGGGTCCACCAATGTATCGCCGTCCAGGCACAAACCCTGCTCGTGAATGTCCCGGAGCGAAGCCTCTAGTATAGTTCACTCATCACACAACAGTCGCAACAAGCAGCAGGACACAGCAACAATCCGAAGCCCAGGAATCTCACTGGCATTGTTTCGGCATCTGGCTCTGCCGCCATCTGCTGCAGATACGAGGCGTCCTGGGCAAAAGTGTCAGTGTTTCGGGGCTTTTGGGTTTTGGAGTGTTAGGGACCACTCGTGCGAATGTATTCGGGCGTACATCATGTGGGCCCCTGGCCTTGTCCTCAGCCAATTGTTTTTCCAAGTCCTGGCTCGGAGGACTTTGTGTGCAGCTGGATGAAAAGCCTAAAAAAGACGAAGGGATTTAGGCTAAAAGGCTCCAGTCCTCAAGCTCTTTCAGGAGGGCAGCTGATTCAGGATCAGCTGACAATTGCTCGACATGTGCAACACCATCCTCAAGAGTACTGCAGCTCCAAAGCTTCGACACGGGGCCTTTCATCCCTAAAAGCCGGGCACCTCTAACCCCAGGGCAACAAGGCTTGAACAGCTTGAAGAAACATGATGCAGGTGTATATATATATATATACATCAGCTGGATCGATCAATGTGCTCGACTGCATGTATATAAGACTGAGACGCAACTTGTAGCATGTGCGGGCTTTTCGGTAGTCACACGATCCCTGTGAGCACGAGTGCCTGCTGAGGGCATGCCCAGCCGCACCGCCGAATTTGCGGCAGATTCCCGCAAGAAAACCCTGTTTCAATCCTGCAAAACACTGCCAAAACCTGCTATTTCTATGCTAGAAACAGTACCCACTAAAACCGGGTTTTACCCATGACGCAGTCACGGGTAAATCACGGGTCTGGCACGGGTTGGGCACGGGTTGGGCTAAACCCGAGGTTTACTTAGAGGCGCTTCAGAACCAGGGTTTGCTTAGTCAGAACCGGGGTTTGTAGCCTGAAATCACGGGTTAAGGCTCACCAAACCCGGGTTTTGCTAGCCTAAACCAGGACTAAGACCTCTCCCAAGCGCAAAAATCACTAAAAAAGCAAAAAAACGCACCAAAACCATTAAAAACCAACCTAAATGCACTTTCCCGCGGGACCCTCTGACTATAGGAACACAACCCCAAACCCCAAAACCCGCAGCACCGACACAGATCGGACCCAAACCTCTATAGTTTGTACTAAGTCACTAAGTGGCCTCTATTACAATTAATCAGGACCCATCGAGACTGTTCGGAACAACAGCCCGCCAACTGTCGGGGATCTTGAGCTTATGCCCTCCCCTCAAATATCTGTACACAGGTGCGAGGTCTGCAAATTGGTAAATATCACACGGACCTGTCGCTAAACTTAGCAGCTCTGCGGGGCGAGGCAATCCAACGTCCGGAACCTGAGCACATCCTCGTCGGTTTGCCTTCAGGTCTTCAGCAATCTTCACGAGCTCTGCGCAAAAGGCGGCTGGATATTTCCTGGGACCAGGGGTCTTAGGTCTTCTACAGGGTCCTAAGGACGGCGGGTCAGGGTTCTTAGAGGGGGTGCTCGGCTAATGAGGAATTTAGGGTTTATAGGGTTTATAGGGTTTATAGGGTTTAAGGGTTTATAGGGTTTAAGGGTTTATAGGGCTTATAGGGTTTATAGTTATATAGGGTTTATACAATGTGGTTTGGAAGGATCCTATTAAGACTGACTACTTGTTGCAAATCAAGGAACTCTGTCTCTTGCAAATGCACGGTCCCATAGTACTTCTCCTTACTATCAATCTTAATCCTTCTGGTTGTTTTCGATCGAACCCGGCCACGTCCAACCATCAAGCGGCCCTTGTTCAACAACCCAATCTTCGAAGTGTTGGAGTACATGTATTGCCTCTTTGGTGTCCTGCTCAGAAAATGAGCCATCCAGAAAGCAACTCGGGTCACCTTAACTTGCACAAGCTCCAGAATGCGAAGTGGGATCAGAAACCCATTACACCACAAGATAAGTACGGAAATATATAGACGAACCCTGAAAAAGCACACACCTACCTAGATCCTACCTACCTACCTACCTACCTACCTACCTACCCACCTACCTACCTTCCCTACCAGCCGAAAAACCTAAACTTACCTACCTCACCGCCGACCCATCTATATATATATATATATAGATAGACCCAACTAGCTAGCTGCCCACCTCGCTACTGACACACCTGCCTACGACTTGCACATGTACATATCCGTCTGTTGTATGCAAATATATAGACATGCATATATATATATACATGAACCTATAACCACACACACACACACATATATATCTGTATATATACCTCACAAAGACAGCTTAAGGCTTCGGCCGCATATGGGCCGCCGACACCACAGACACCCATCATCATCGCCCGAAAACATGGATAAAACTCCAAAGTTGACCCAGACGGTTGCTCGATCGTCCAGGCCGAATCCATCGCCGTGCACAGCAGGATGAGCAACGTGCTCCTGGCGGATGTTTGGGTTAGACGGGTTTAGGGTTTATTGTTATTGGGTTTTGGAGTTTGTAGGGTTTCAGGTCTGATCGATCGAACAAAAACCGTAAACGGTTTAGCTGAGCAATGGATTTGGAGTTTGCAGTCTATATATAATCGATAGATGTACTCCAAGAAAAGTTTAGATTGACACAAAGTAGAACCGTACATACACTTGGGTTTAGGGTTCTATAGGGTTCTATAGAATTTATATAGGGCTTTGAATTTAGGGTTGATAGAGAGGGTTTATAAGAAGGGTCCTTGCCTTTTTTCAGGTTATGGGGCTGAAGTGGGTCAGGAGTTGAAGTTCTGATGCTGTGTATGCAGCAGCCTGTCCTCTCTAGCATCTTGTTCGAGTAGACCACGGAGGAGTGCCCAGTAAAACCCAGAGAGGAGCAGGCCGATCGACCACTAGTCCCACGATTCATACCACAGAAAGATGAACACTTTATCCCAAAGTGCACCAGACCGCTTCGAAGCTTCAGGCAGTAGAATATCGCCAGACTGAGATGAATGAGCAATGCTGCAAACAGTTCCTATATACAGAGCAAGTGGGCATTGTCGGAACGGAATGACTGCGAACAAGCTGCGCAAACCCACTGGTGGAGTTCAGGTCCATGAAATTAGTATTGTGCCCACGACGAGTTGCATCCTTAATATCGAAGCGTGCAGATTTGTAATTGCCCAGGGCACGCATCATCCGGCACATGGTCCCAGCACCAGCGAAGAACTCCAGGAAGTCGTAATCCTCGGAATTGGTCTTGAATTGAGTACGGACAAACCCTTGGCACATCGGACGAAAGCAGACCTAAACAGCCGCCCCCCAAACCCATCCCGGAGGCCTGCCTGGGTCAAGTCAGCTTGTTCGAAACTCCAAAGCACGAGCAGAACTGTAAGGATGAAGTCCTGATGGATATCAACGGGATTCCAATAGAGACTTAACATGCACATGCTTCATCGTTGTAGACAATCACTCGAACACAGGTGTATAGCGCCTTGGGAGCTTGTAGCTGGATCAATCGCCAACAAAGGACACCAGCATCCATCATGGCTTGCGAGGTAGCGACGAGCAACAGTGCACACTTTCGTGTTTATGATGTGTTACAGTCCCTTCTTTAGCTGTAGTGCAATGTACCCATGGCATGGATGCACACGTCACTCTCTAAGCCCACTGTGGAGTTCAATCATGCCGAACACACTTCCCACATGGCTCTGTGGACACAATTGAAAGTCACAATGTCCCCCACCCCGGGCATCAGTTTGATTTGTAAACATGGTGTGGGCACGAACCTGTCGCCTCTCATCGAGGCGCCACTTCCAAAGCTGGGCAGCTTTGAGCAGAGGCATGATCCGGGCCTTGGC